AGATGAGCGAGAGTGACAGGTTAGTTGTGCTTTTATGTCACCTGTTTTGTCGAGCACTTTGAATATTTAAATTGGGGCTGATGGACACTTTTTATTAATTTATTAACACATCAGCCGTCTCCCACCCAGGTAGGGTGACCCGAAAAGAAAAACTTTCACCATCATTCACTCCATCACTGTCTTACCAGAGGTGCATTTACACTACAGTTATAAAACTGCAACATTAACACCCCTCCTTCAGAGTACAGACACTGTACTTCATATCTCCAGGACTCAAGTCCTGTACTCACCTAGTTGTACTCATCTAGCTGTGGTTGCAGGGGTCGATTCACAGCTCCTGACCCCGCCTCTTTGCTGTCTGCTACTAGGTTACTCTACCTGCTCCAAGAACCAAATCATACTTCTTCGTAAAGCTACGTATGGATCCTGCCTCCACTACATCACTTCCCAGACTATTCCACTATCTGCAGGTGTCCCTAAATAGACTTGTATTTTATTAGTTGTATATGTTTAGGACTGTGGCTAGTATTTCTCGTGGCTGGAAACCTTACCATTTAATCAACTTTAATCACAAGACGTATAAATATTTTTCACAATTGGTTCTCACTCGCGACTATATTTTTTTTAATGAAGGTGGTCTTTATGAGGTAGAACTGGGTTTGTCACATTTCTTTTTCTTCTGAGAACCGACAAATTGATAAATTAGACATAACACATCGACACCATGCCTAACCCTTCTAGGGTAGGGTAGGTGCCTGAACCCGAGTCTTTAGCTCATAAGACTGTCATTCCCATTTGCCCCCTTGGGGCGGGGATGGCAGACCAGAGAGGCCTAGCTTGTAGCTAGGCCTGGGGACAGTTGGTCCCAAAGATGAGGAGGTACTTGTGCCTCCTCCCATGGGAGACAGGTCTCAGACACTCCCTAAAGAGGGAGCCAAGGCCGGGCCAACACTTGGAAAAGGCCCGGGCCGGGAGAATACCGGCTAATCTTTAATAATAATAATAATAGACACAACTGTCTAATTTGTCAGTTTGTTGATTATCGAAAGTGTCTTCAGTCTGCGTTCTTTTAGGACTCTTTCAGTACAACGATATTTTTGTGCTGATTCTGTGTTTTCTAGCCAGATTATCTCCCGGATAATCCCTCTGAGGATTACAACAACGGACGTGACATATCTCGTTTTGAAAGGTTTCGTAATCCAAAAATTAATTTTTCTGCTCATGCCTTTATAGGATAAACCCAAGATAAGTCGCAGTGAACGAATATCAGCGAGTAAACTTGAACAATTGATGGGTACTAAATGGTCCTCGCGACGTGTAAATATTGCGCTAGGCTGTAACCCTCAGGTACCGTCAGTAACAATCTTAGTTCATAGATGAATGGTTCAGAGAACCGACATGTTGATAAATTAGACACATGTGCAACTCTTGGGTATCTTTATTGAGGAAACGTTTCGCTACACAGTGGCTTCATCAGTCCATACAAAGGAGAATCTTAGAGAACAGGAGGAGAATGAGGTAATCAGTCTCTCAACCTTGAGTCGATGTGGTCAGTCCATCAATCTTGAATAGAATGCGGCATACGTGCTGAGAAGCAGCTTATAAACCGTATGGCAGGAGAGGTGCAGCAGTCATAGGTGGTGTCACATTTGTTCAATGTGGAAGTAGGTCGTGCCCAAGAATTAGGCAAGCGAAGAATTCCTAATTTCAAGATTGATGGACTGACCACATCGACTCAAGGTTGAGGGACTGATTACCTCATTCTCCTCCTGTTCTTCAAGATTCTCCTTTGTATGGACTGATGAAGCCACTGTGTGGCGAAACGTTTCCTCAATAAAGATACCCAAGAGTTGCACATGTGTCTAATTTATCAATCTTAGTTCAGCCTGTTTATTTATGCTTCTTAGTTCAGCCTTTGTTTATTTATGCTTCTTAGTTCAGCCTTTGTTTATTCATGCTTCTTAGTTCAGCCTTCGTTTATTCATGCTTCTTAGTTCAGCCTTCGTTTATTCATGCTTCTTAGTTCAGCCTTCGTTTATTCACGCTTCTTAGTTCAGCCTTCGTTTATTTATGCTTCTTAGTTCAGCCTTTGTTTATTCATGCTTCTTAGTTCAGCCTTCGTTTATTCACGCTTCTTAGTTCAGCCTTCGTTTATTCACGCTTCTTAGTTCAGCCTTTGTTTATTCACGCTTCTTAGTTCAGCCTTCGTTTATTCACGCTATTTAGTTCAGCCTTTGTTTATTCATGCTTCTTAGTTCAGCCTTCGTTTATTCACGCTTTTTAGTTCAGCCTTCGTTTATTCACGCTTCTTAGTTCAGCCTTCGTTAGTTCACGCTTCTTAGTTCAGCCTTCGTTAGTTCACGCTTCTTAGTTCAGCCTTCGTTAGTTCACGCTTCTTAGTTCAGCCTTTGTTAGTTCACGCTTCTTAGTTCAGCCTTTGTTAGTTCACGCTTCTTAGTTCAGCCTTTGTTAGTTCACGCTTCTTAGTTCAGCCTTCGTTAGTTCACGCTTCTTAGTTCAGCCTTTGTTAGTTCACGCTTTAAGGTCTCGTCATAATGACAGGTCACTTATCATTGTTATTGATAACACTTTTACTTACGTATTACACCGTTTTATCAAATATTGTGTCAGTGTTTGTATCTAGTGTTTTCTTCTTTAGTTCTCGTCCTTTGTTCTTGGTAGCAGCTGGACTTTGTCACTGCTGAACATTATGTTCTTGGTAGCAGCTGGACTTTGTCACTGCTGAACATTATGTTCTTGGTAGCAGCTGAACTTTATCACTGCTGAACATTATGTTCTTGATAGCAGCTGAACTTTATCACTGCTGAACATTATGTTCTTGGTAGCAGCTGAACTTTGTCACTGCTGAACATTATGTTCTTGGTAGCAGCTGAACTTTATCACTGCTGAACATTATGTTCTTGATAGCAGCTGAACTTTATCACTGCTGAACATTATGTTCTTGGTAGCAGCTGAACTTTATCACTGCTGAACATTATGTTCTTGGTAGCAGCTGAACTTTATCACTGCTGAACATTATGTTCTTGGTAGCAGCTGGACTTTATCACTGCTGAACATTATGTTCTTGCTAGCAGCTGGACTTTATCACTGCTGAACATTATGTTCTTGGTAGCAGCTGAACTTTATCACTGCTGAACATTATGTTCTTAGTAGCAGCTGAACTTTGTCACTGCTGAACATTATGTTCTTGGTAGCAGCTGGACTTTATCACTGCTGAACATTATGTTCTTAGTAGCAGCTGAACTTTGTCACTGCTGAACATTATGTTCTTAGTAGCAGCTGGACTTTATCACTGCTGAACATTATGTTCTTGGTAGCAGCTGGACTTTATCACTGCTGAACATTATGTTCTTGGTAGCAGCTGGACTTTATCACTGCTGAACATTATGTTCTTGGTAGCAGCTGGACTTTATCACTGCTGAACATTATGTTCTTGGTAGCAGCTGGACTTTATCACTGCTGAACATTATGTTCTTGGTAGCAGCTGGACTTTATCACTGCTGAACATTATGTTCTTGGTAGCAGCTGGACTTTATCACTGCTGAACATTATGTTCTTGGTAGCAGCTGGACTTAGTGTCGATATTTGCAGATAATCAGTGTGTTTTACTGCGGCAACTTTCATGCTGGTTTTTCTCTGGTTTGAATTACATTACAACACGTTCTTGTTTTAATTTTTGCTTCTGGTATAAAGTTGAGTACCTACAAAGGTGCTAAAAATCTTATCTTTCATATTTTTGCTTCTGGTATAAAGTTGAGTACCTACAAAGGTGCTAAAAATCTTATCTTTCATATTTTTGCTTCTGGTATAAAGTTGAGTACCTACAAAGGTGCTAAAAATCTTATCTTTCATATTTTTGCTTCTGGTATAAAGTTGAGTACCGACAAAGGTGCTAAAAATCTTATCTTTCATATTTTTGCTTCTGGTATAAAGTTGAGTACCTACAAAGGTGCTAAAAATCTTATCTTTCATATTTTTGCTTCTGGTATAAAGTTGAGTACCTACAAAGGTGCTAAAAATCTTATCTTTCATATTTTTGCTTCTGGTATAAAGTTGAGTACCTACAAAGGTGCTAAAAATCTTATCTTTCATACAGGTTAGTGATGCATTTCCACAATTAACATTCCCAATTATTACTCAAGTTCCTCGGTCTTCAGCTTGTCAGTCTTGTAAATCATTTACATTAAAATCATAATGAATGTATCTGGAAAATAATTAGACCTAATTTTAAATGCAATAGCTCATTGTTTACTATTTACTTATTGTAATTTGCTTTATACTTACACTTAATTTATACTTATAGTCTGTATTATCCTCACAGCTTTCGTTGGGTAACAAGGGTTTACAATTGGAAGTTGAAGACCCAGATGAGTCATCAACTTCAGATCATATAGTTGTCAGAAATTGGAATAGTCTGGAAAGTGATGTAATTGAGGCAGGATCCATACATAGCATTAAGAAGAGGTATGATAAAGCTCATGGAGCAGGGAGAGAGAGGATCTAGTTTACGTTATACACTTCTTAAAATATACATCTCCACCCTCCTGTGTATAGTGAATCGCAGTTCTCGTAACAAATGCAGCATCACGGGTGATGTCTTATTCCCTGACCCTCGAGACTCACTAAACGCACAATATGTGATGTAGAGTGACAGTGAAGTCACCCCTTGTACCTCCCAAACAACCGCGCTCATAGTGTATGTCGGAATTACACCGTTTTCAACTTTCCCCTCTTTGTGAAATTACGTACTCACTTCCCATACTGCATGTTACACACCGTTTATACTGTATGTGTTTCAGAATTCTCACACCGTGTTTAATATCGTATTCCTTTCACACCATCTACGGTGAAGAGTTCTCACATTACATATGGTGCAGACCTCTCGTACTGTAACTGTATATGTTGCAGATACCTCGCATCATGAATGTGCAACTACATCATCATTATGTGTTGCTAAACTCACAATGTTTATGTTGCAGACACAATATGACGCTCAAAATGAGGAAATTGGTACCGTCAGACTTCGGCGTCTACACTTGTATCATCGGGAACTTCCTGGGTGAGGCGCAAGCCACCACTGTTCTCAGAGGTGAGTCCTTCAAGAACTCTGGAATACCCTTCAGGAAACCATCCTCAGAGGTGAGTGTTGCAGGAGCTCTGGAATACCCTGAAGGGAACCATCTCAGAGGTGAGTGTTGCAGGAGCTCTGGAACACCCTCCAGGGAACCATCCTCAGAAGTGAGTGTTGAAAGAACTCTGTGACCGTCAGCGACAGTAAGCGGTATATCACTTGAATCACTTCTGCCACTCCTTCTGGAGTCACTGCTGGGTTACCACATGGAGAAAACCCGGACCAGGGCCCTGGCAAACCTACATGAACATGAACTCTCTTCTTAGGTCGTTCTGGCACTCGAGCTGCGGCCTGAGTGCCAGGAATGATTCAAATGGAGACGAAAGACTCACCGTGCCCTTGTCATAGGACTGCTCCCATCACAGGGCTGTAAACAGTACGTCATTCTTCCACTCTATATATGATCAATTTTAATTTATACAAAGTACTTTAGAGATTCGCATTTTTCGGATTATATTAACTGAAATCAATGGGGTTAAAATAACCCTCTTCGGAGGATGCTTCTCTGGTTTGGTGTCCTAGAGTCATTTCAACACTCAAGAAAGAGTTCTTGCTCATGTAGGTTTGCCAGGACGGGTTCTGGTCTGGGTCTTTTCCATGTGGCGACCCGGCAGTGGCTCCAGAAGGAGTGGCAGAGTTGATTCAGGTGATATACTACTAACAGCCCTATGGCAGTTGCACGGTGAGCATTCATGTCAAGTGGTGTACCGTTTACAGCCCTATGGCTGTGGCAGGCCTATGACAAGGGCGCGGTGAGTCTTTCAATTCCAATTGAGCCATTCCTGGCACTCAGGCCGCAGCCCATACAGCTCGAGAGATTCTCTGGAGGTGAAGAAAAGAGTGAGGTAGCCAGTATATAAGGGCGAGCGGGACAAAAACGGTAACAAAGAGGGAGAAGAGGAGTGAAGGGTGAAGGGAGTAATAGTGAAGGGAGTAGCATTAGTAGAGGAATAGAGGCGAAAATGTCCTACCCGCAAGGGGTAGGACCAGAAACGCAGGGGATAGGGGGGGGTTAACTGACTTACAGAACACATTTAGGCAGAAGGAATACAAAGAAAGAAAAGGGGAAAAGTAGGAACGGAGAAGTAGGGAAAGGAGAAGAAAGGATCAGGTTAAGTTACGTGTGTTGTGAAGTTTGCGGCATTAACAATGTAATGAGAAAGGAAGGCATCTACAGAAACGAAGCCAAGACTAAGATTCATACAAAGAAAGTCGTGTATTAGGGATGTTTCAACTAGACGGCGACTGTGAAAGCTAGAAGTAGGGTAGACAGTTTTAGCAGAGGACCAGTCGACATGACTGTGATCTCTAACATGACAGAAAGGAGCATTATTTGTGTGGGTAAGCATGTTTAACACTACTTTGAGTTTGTCAGAAAGAGAACGGCCAGTTTCTCCAGAGTATTGGAGAGGGCAAAAGGGCATCTATAGCGGAAGGAGAGTTACGAACTAAATTACTGAGAAGAGTGTTAGTTTGGCGAAGAGTTTAATGTCTAAGGAAAGGAGAAAGTTGTTGAAACTAAAAAGACTGGAAATATAGGGAAGGTAGAGAACAGAAGATTTCACAGAAACAGAGTTTGGGGGAGAAGAAAGTCCGTTTAGCAAGTGGAGTTTATGATATTGGAGGAGTAGCCAAGACGAGAGAACGAATTACGAAGAGTGAAAATTTCCGATTCAAGGAACTGAGGGTAAGAAATGCGAAGAACACAAGTGAAAGGAAGAAATAAGAACGTTTTTCTTGACAGAGGAAGCATGGTAAGAGAAGTAATGAATGTGCATGCCACTGTGCATAGGCCTGAATAAATGGAAAAAGAAAAGACTAAAACCGAGGGGCGGGGGGATATATATACATCATGTACATTGTATAAATCCAGCCATTGTATTTTTTTTTTTTTCTGAAAACTTAGTCTCTTCAGAAATAACCTGTGTTTAGTAGAGGAAAATTAAGACGTTTCGATCCGTCCTAGACCGTCTACAACTGATCACCTGTCTGCAGTACATTACAACATCTCCGCTCAGATGTTGTAGTTGTATCAGGACTGATGAACTTAACATATCTACTCCAGACTGAGGGACTGTTTACCACAAACTCATATTAACACTGTCACGTCATAACAAGATGTCAAGTTAGGAGAAGACTACGGTGCTGAAGTTTCAGTAGAAATAACATCATCAGCAGCAGTAGTAAAGGAGTTGCAATTGCTAAGGTCATACTAGTGGCTCGTTGAAACTGGTATAATAATAATTAATAATAATAATAATAATAATAATAATAATAATAATAATAATATCTTTATTTACTACCAGTACATGTACAAGGTATACAGACGATAGCTGACATCAATGACATACTACTATATACGAAGTCCCTTGTTATGCTGAGCATTTCCTGCAAATTAGGTCGGTTTTGTCCCAGGATGCGACCCGCATCAGTCCACTAACACATAGGTACCCATTTTACACTGATGGGTGAACAGGGACAGCAGGTGTCCCTAATGTTTTCCAACCGTACCGGAGGAGATTCGAACCCCGGAGCTCAGTGGGTGAGCTGAGTGCGTTAGTGATCGATCTACGGGACACTTATCAGTCCATCGTAGATAAATGACTGGTACAACTGAAATGTTGAGTAACACTTGGGAATCTTTAAGTAAGTTTATTCATGTATACACAAATACAGTTACATAGATTATCATACATAGCAGCATATGTGTAAAGTGCCTGGGATAACCCAGTTTGAGGTAAGCAGTCCCTTAGCCTTGAGTAGATGTGATCAGTACATCAATGGAGAGGGAGCATGGACACGGGGGTCGTCCCACAGTTACTAAAAACAACAGACATAGCCCCACTCCACAAAGGGGGGAGTAAAGCAATAGCAAAGAACTACAGACCGATAGCACTAACATCCCATATCATAAAAATCTTTGAAAGGGTCCTAAGAAGCAAGATCACCACCCATCTAAATACCTATCAATTAAACAACCCAGAGCAACATGGGTTTAGAGCAGGTCGTCCTGTCTGTCTCAGCTACTGGATCACTACGACAAAGTCCTAGATGCACTAGAAAACAAAAAGAATGCAGATGTAATATATACAGACTTTGCAAAAGCCTTCGACAAGTGTGACCATGGCGTAATAGCGCACAAAATGCGTGCTAAAGGAATAACAGGAAAAGTTGGTAGATAGATCTATAATTATCCTCACAAACAGAACACAAACAGTAGTAGTCAACAGAGTAAAGTCCGAGGCGGCTACGGTGAAAAGCTCTGTTCCACAAGGTACAGTACTCGCTCCCATCTTGTTTCTCATCCTCATATCTGACATAGACAAGGATGTCAGCCACAGCACCGTGTCTTCCTTTGGAGATGACACCCGAATCTGCATGACAGTGTCTTCCATTGCAGACACTGCAAGGCTCCAGGCGGACATCAACCAAATCTTTCAGTGGGCTGCAGAAAACAATATGAAGTTCAACGATGAGAAATTTCAATTACTCCGATATGGTAAACATGAGGAAATTAAAACGTCATCAGAGTACAAAACAAATTCCGGCCACAAAATAGAGCGAAACACCAACGTCAAAGACCTGGGAGTGATCATGTCGGAGGATCTCACCTTCAAGGACCATAACATTGTATCAATCGCATCTGCTAGAAAAATGACAGGATGGATAATGAGAACCTTCAAAACTAGGGATGCCAAGCCCATGATGACACTCTTCAGGTCACTTGTTCTATCTAGGCTGGAATATTGCTGCACACTAACAGCACCTTTCAAGGCAGGTGAAATTGCCGACCTAGAAAATGTACAGAGAACCTACACGGCGTGCATAATGGAGATAAAACACCTCAATTACTGGGAGCGCTTAAAGTTCCTAACCTGTATTCCCTGGAACGCAGGAGGGAGAGATACATGATTATATACACCTGGAAAATCCTAGAGGGACTAGTACCGAACTTGCACACGAAAATCACTCGCAACGAAAGCAAAAGACTCTGCAGATGATGCACCATCCCCCCAATGAAAAGCAGGGGTGTCACTAGCACGTTAAGAGACATATAATAAGTGTCAGGGGCCCGAGACTGTTCAACTGCCTCCCAGCATACATAAGGGGGATTACCAACAGACCCCTGGCAGTCTTCAAGCTGGCAATGGACAAGCACCTAAAGTCGGTACCTGACCAGCCGAGCTGTGGCTCGTACGTTGGTTTGCGTGCAGCCAGCAGTAACAGCCTGGTTGATCAGGCTCTGATCCACCATGAGGCCTGGTCACAGACCGGGCCGCGGGGGCGTTGACCCCCGGAACTCTCTCCAGGTAAACTCCAGGCATATGCGCGAAGAAATTTATATAGTATAGACAGGTAAGTTGAAACAGTCAGAGGTGTCACTGTCGTGCTGAATAGGCAAAACTTGCGATTTTGACTTAAGTAGCAACGCTCTGCTTGCCGAATAAGTCAAGCGAAACTTTGTGTATGCAATAATTTCGCAAAAAATCATTCTGAACCTAACGAAAAAATATATTTCACTGTGTTTGTTTATTATTAAATTATTGTAAACTTATCTAAAATATTTTTAGCAGCATTAGGCTAAATTAAATTGCGATTGTTGTAATAAGGTTAGGTAAATTTTAGAAAGTACTTAATTTTAGAAAGTACTTAATTTTAAATAAGTTCTTGCTAATTGACCTGTTTTACCTATTCGGCACGACATCAGAATGGAAAAATCTACAGGTGGAGGTCGCCCAAACGGCTTCACCTCACCTGTCTGCAGTATATAAGATATATCTTCACTTATCTTATTCTGTGATCATGATACACTGATCACATTGACTGTACCATGATTTATATTCAACTTATCCTGGACTGATTACCTCAATTCCTCAGGGACTCTATACAACGTATCCTCAGCGGCTATTACCTCAATTCTCCAGACTGATTATCTTCAAACTTATCCTCAGGGACATGATTACCTTAAAATTATCCTCAGGGACTGATTATCTCAAACTTATCCTCAGGGACTGATTACCTCAAAATTCTCCTCAGGGACTGATTATCTCAAACTTATCCTCAGGGACTGATTACCTCAAAATTCTCCTCAGGGACTGATTCTCTCAAACTTCTCCAGGGACTGATTACCTCAAGCTTCTCCAGGGACTGATTATCTCAAACTTATCCTAAGGGACTAATTATCTCAAACTTCTCCTCAAGGACTGATTATCTCAAACTTCTCCTCAGGGACTGTTTTCAAAATTCCTCAGGGACTGATTATCTCAAACTTCTCTCAGGGACTGATTATCTCAAAC